TTTCTTAGCCAAATTTCTAAATAAATGCCCATCACGCTTGTTTTTATCCTCACCCATCCACATAAAATATGTCTTTGTTTTATTCACTTTAAGACTACAAATTGGTTCAAATGACACACACACATACGCACACACACACATACGCACATATTCATATTCATTTTTAATCCAGATGATTTGTTTTCATTCGTTTTCTTTTATCTGAATGGATGAAAATATTAATATTTATAGTATGCAACTTATCATTTCGAAAACCATAAAGTACAAGTCCACTCCAAAAATAACTTACTTTCAATAGAAGCAGAAAAATAGGACAAACCAATAAACAAAAGTTTGAGCAAAATTCGGATAACTAAGAAGAAAGTTATGACTTTTTGAAAAAGTATGTCAAACTATGGACCAATGAAAATCACTACACAAATTGCCAATTTGGTTATCCTTTTGTGACGTCATATCCTCGCTATTTATCAATTGCTTTATATATTTTAATCCCATTGATTTTTCCTTTTTATCCCCAAAAACTTGATTGCCCTATACGTTTGCCCAGGTTATATTATTTGTATCATATTGCGTGCATGACATTTCACAAAATATTTTATGATTTTTGAAGAACTGATACTATTTTCTGAATAATGTATATTTATAATTATTGATTTTTTATATAAATAGTTTTTAAAATTCACATTTTTCAAGTTTATCAAAATTCAAAATGTTCATGATTTAACTGGAATTTTTTCCCTCTATATTAGTGCATCCACACAAAAACATATTACTATCAATCTAACTTGGATGCTGGTGTGAAGAAATAAGATTCTTAGGGGGGGGGGGAAATAGGAAATCTATATTATCAATATAAAGAAAATAATAAGTGGATGGTGAGGACATGACATCACAGACAGATGAGTGAGTTTCCAATTTGTTGTGTCCTTTTCATTGTTGCATAGTTTTCAATCCTTTTTCAAAAAGTCATAACTTTCTTATCCGATGTTGCTCAAACTTTTTTTTGATTGGTTTGTCCGATTTTTCTGCTTCTATTGAATGTAAGTTATTTTTCGAGTGGAATTATCCTTTAAACATCACAAAACGGGATACTTTCAAATCTCAATATTCGTTGTACATAAAACAACCCTTAATACCCCCTTCACATACACGGATTTTTCTTACGAGTCCTTACGGATCGCACAAATTCACGGATCTTTCACGCATCCTTTTTAAAGATTTGGCCACTTTTACGATCTATTTAAGAGTTGTTACGAATTATTACGAGCTATTTAAGGTTTATTATGGATTATTACGATTTATTACGATGTATTTACGGCAAAGTTTCAAGATTTGTTACGAGTTGTCGAGGATAATGACGAGCAACTAACATGTTGGTTACGACCTGTATACGTGTTGTAATAATTACGAGTTAATTATGAGTATTTACGAGTCCTTACGATTTTTAGCCAAAATATAACAACTGAAAACACTATACAAACGCGGAACTTACTTTGTAAACTATGTTCTTTATTGTGAAAGCAATTGCTATGAAATGGAATAAATTTGAATCAATCTATCGAATCAATCAATCAATGTGATCATTATTATTATTATACCATCTAGCTTGATAGCGATATTTGTGTAATGCTTGATAAAATAACCGATGAACGATCCACTTTGCTACAAATAATAGAGTATGACTTGGTGATAATTTTGAAGCTGTTAAGGTCCCTTAAGGTTAGGGTGAGAGGGCTCTAAATCAACTCGCATTAACAAAAAAAAACTTCATTTTGTACTATTTTTCTCAAGAGAAATGACGATGTTTCAAAAAACGGGCAATATATGGTGCATCAATTGTAATATCTACACCTGCACCACGTTGTATACATTTATACATGTACGACGTTTGATAGAGATATTTTTCGTATTGACATGAATGATAGTGCAGAATTATGCAAACATGACCTTTGACCATGTTGGTCGGTGCGTGGAGCATGAAAAGACAAAATTTGAATGACTTTCAGAAACAAAGACATTTGCACCATTAGTATATTTAGAATGAAGGAATGTTACCATGGTTACCCTTCGATTTCTTTGTCACTGTTGACTGTTGCTATTTCATATATCTCATCCCCTACTGTCGGTCTGTCTGTCTCTTTCTTTCTTTCTTTTCTTTCTTTGTGGACCTCTTGGAAGAACAGGGCCATTTTTTTTTTCAAATTAGTTTTATTTTAACAGGGTGGTCTCATTCAAGTTCATTTCTGAGCCTGCTCTCCCAGAGAGCCCTGTATTCACATAAAAACATGTACAATAATAACATGAATTCAAAACATACATACAAAGGTAAAATATACATGGTATATACAATAATTAAACATAGGTAACGAAAAACACGCATTAATAATAAATTATAAGGAAAAAAATACAACTATCAAATTGAGAAAACTAGATGAATGAAATGTAATAGGTCAAATTAACGTGAAAATATGTTTACAAGGGAAACTGAAAGGTTTTTGACATTCTTTTTAAAACTTTGCAGCGACTTACAATTTTAATATGATAGGGTAATCTATTGTATATTTTAGCTCCTGAAACCGCTAAGGTTTTCGTATTAAAATTTGTTTTACATTTTGGAATGAATAATGGACTGTTTAAAGCATAACGAGTAGAATATAATATCGGTCTTTTACTTATACATGGTGGAGATAGGTCGTTTATGATTTTAAAAATCAAGATGCATTTCTGATATTTAATTCTTTCCTCTAATGACCGCCATTTCAATTTACTCATTAAAACATTTTGGGGTGTAAAATATTCGGCACGAAGAACTAATCGTGCATATCTATTTTGTAATTTTTGCAACTTTGTTAGATTTTGTTTCGAAGTATTTCCCCATACTGAATTACAGTAGTTTAAATGCGGTAGGATAAGAGAATAGTATAATGTAATCAGATTCTTACGGGAAATATAATTGCGTATACGTCTAACGCAGGCAATCGTACCCGATACTTTCTTAACAACTTCTTTTAAATGTAACGACCATGTTAAACTTTTGTCTAGTGTTACACCTAGATATTTCATACTTTCGACTGAGTCGAGTACATTGTCACTGTAACGAATACAAATATTATTATTTTGAATTTTTCTTTTGGAACCAAATAGTATTGTTTTGGTTTTATTTGCATTTAAAAACAGTCCATTGTATTTTAACCATTTCAAGATACTGGTAAAATCTTTTTGGAGATTGTATTCACAAACTTTATAATCCTTTCCATGATGAAATACTGCCGTGTCATCTGCATATAAGGAAATCTTTGTCTTAGAATGGAGTTGCAGGTTACAAATATCATTCACATAGAGGCAGAAAATTAATGGCCCCAGTATTGATCCTTGTGGAATTCCTGATTTCACAGTTTGAAAATTACTCTTAGTCCCTTGCAAGAATACACATTGTTGCCTATTAGATATTAGCCTATTAGTATCACAGAATAAAGCAATCCAGTTCTCTACTTTCAACAAAATACATTCGTATGTGTTTACGTATGTATCGTATTATGTTTCTTATACAGAAAATGAAACCAATTAACCAAACCGACCCCCTTTCTCTAATATAAAAAGGAGCAGAGCGAGAGAGTGGGATAGGGAGAGAGATGGGGAGAGAGAGATAGAGATAGAGAAAGAGAGAGTGTGTGCGTGTGAGGGGGGGGGGGTTGAAGAAATTGAGAAGATACATTTTGCCATGGATGTTATTCCCTCTTCTTTTGCCCTATGTAGCCTACCATCGTACCCCATACCAAGAACAGACCTACTCCTCCTCCCTCCCCTTCTCTCTCCTTCTCTCAATATCTATCCCTATTCCTCTTTCTCTCGCTCTCCCCCTCTCACCCCCCCACCCCCTCTCACTATATCTTTCTGCCTCCTCTCTTTATCTTCTATCTTTAACACGATCACGTTACTCTTGATATTTCATTGGCCCTTGTACGTGACCTTTTGAAAGAAGCAAACTTTACAATGACATATTCCGTGTATGTATTAACCATGATTTCCATGGGACATACATTAGGGTATTTAAATTGCCTTTATTTGATTTTTTAGAAAGAAGTTGCGACCGTATTCTCTCTGTCTGTTTACCTACCTATCTATATATCTGTATCATCTCTCACTTTATCTAGCATCCGTCTATATGCATGTATCTCTCAGTGTAATATTTTGTTCTCTCTCTCTCTCTCTCTCGTCAATCTATTTCTTTCTATCATCTTTTTGTCTCTCTCTCTCTCTCGTCAATCTATTTTTTTCTATCATCTTTTTGTCTCTCTCTCCCTCTCTCTCTCTTACATGTTTCTCTTCTCTCTCACTTCTTACCTCTTACTATCATATATATTTTCCAATTACTCCCAATCTTTCTTTCTCTCGTCTCCTCGTCTCGTCTCATTCCTCTTGTTCCTTCTCTCATTTCTTTTCTCTCGTTTTCTTTACCAAACTAAAGTAAATTCCAAATGTCACTCCAATCTTTGAAACGCAAGCTTTAACAAAATATCTTTGATAAATACCCAAATCAGCTAAACAAATAGTAGAGAACTAATTTCTTTGTGAACATATGTTTGTGAAATATAAATGTATAATTTGTGCACCATGTTTATCATTATATATATTTTTTATATATATATTTCATTTAAGTTTTATCATATAAAAGTGAACACTACATTTAATTTGTATTATATGTTGGGTGCCAACGCTTTTAAAACTATTCAACTGAGTTCATGTTGGCTCTCTCCACAATAATATAATAAGTATTCGTTTTCCCATCTTGTTTCAATGTGCTTCTTTGTCTAAAATATTAAAAATTTATAGTGGTATGACGACTTTTCTTTCGTATTCGATTTGATTTTGATTTCTTGGTAAACAGAAATGGTAATGGTAAACAGAAAGACAAAACCTGTAAAATTTCTTATTTCAAATGCATTTCTCTTGTCTGCAAATGAATATATGGAAGATGTAAAACGAACTTCAAATCTCAATCCATAGTTATTTCAGTACTTATGTTTTATTGTTTTCTGCATTTCTACGACAATAAATCACACCGTGCGAGGTAAATACCAGTATAAATTAAGGAATTGGTTACAAAACAGGCTATATCCATTACAAAATAAGTTGTAGAGAAAAAACAATTATTCTAATTTCCATTCTCTCAATTGCAACATCGATTTGGAGATAAACTTAATCCTATTGTATACGACATATTTGTTAACGGACCAGTTCATAGTTAGCTTTTATAATAGTACATGACCCCCAAATAATCCCAGATCTGTTAAACATGGAGACGTCCCACTTCGTCCAATTTAGGATAATCTCTGCCAAAATCATGGATGTGCTTCACAAATACCCTTTGTATGCCCTCTTGAGAAGAATATTTCACCTGTGTATCAAAAATGTACCGTCGGCAAATATATAAATAATGATTACATAACTTTAATGAGCGCGAATCCAGTATCATGTCTCCATGGGTTTAGAATTCTGGTACAAATTTCCTTTATCTGGCCTGTATCTACGAGCTGGCATACTGAAGCCATCTTTAAAACATCCAGGTGTTTTTTTCTTCTAATCATCATTATTCTCTCAATTACCAGTACTCTTAAAGTCTCATAACATAAGAGAGCTCCTTGATCAACAGTGCATAGCGGGACGGAGTGTTTTCCACTGCAACATAGCCAACGTCTATGAAACAGGCGAGGGACACGTTTTCACGTAACGCAGGGTGGTTAATATTGGTGGCAAAGGTACCATCGGGAGGTAAATTGTATACAACATGACCCAGTTGGGGTGTTGGGCCATATTATTTCAGATTCAGATTCAGATTTATTTCCATTGGAAATGGCCAACATGGAGAAGGTTACTGCTCTCCTTCAGACTTGCGTTATGTTTGTAAAAGGATTTAACTCTCACTCTCTACACCCCGCTGATTGGTATTTCGTTTTGACGAAAAAGTTATCAATACAATCATTTTAGGATTGGACATATCGGGAGAATATGCTATTAAAATATCCAATGTCAAGATAAGAACTAAAAGAGGGGTGAATAGATTTCAACGAATGAAATGTAAATTGACATTTCATGTGATATGCTATACCTTTCGTAAGAAGAGACAGTATAATAAGTATTTTTGAATGATATGTAAACAAGGATTACATTAAAAGTTGGACGTGGTGATTTACGAAAGTGAATGACCTACAGGCTCCTGGTGCAGGCTTAACATTTGACTGGGTCACAAAGGTAGCAAATACTGTAGGCACCAACGTCGCTGAACGGGATCCCTCCAGCCGTGAGTTTCTCCCGCAGGATCGGCAGGAGCTGGAGAACATTCTCAGTAGATGCCCCCGGAAGTATTTCGACGCGGAGGACATAAACGAAAGGAGTTCTTCCGGGTCGACGTCTTTTATACAAAGCGATGTCGCCCCTCTTGATATCGGCCGGGAATGCATCACTTACTATATCAGCTCCAGTCTTAACCTTCCACTCCGCTTCGAAAGCGCTGTAACTCGCCTCATCTATGTCAGAGTCCTATCAGAATGGAATGATAAAAAGAGTTAAACTGAAACAAAAATGATCTCAAAACGACGGAACTGAAATAAGAACATCTCTACGCATGAAGGCCCCGAGAGGTGATTTGCGGTAGTGCTTCTAGTACAGTATGGCTTTAATGGTTTGACATCTGAGAATCACGACCCCCACCTTTATTGCCAAACCAATTTGTCCCCGAAGATGTGTGCTTTTCCATCTTATGCTTTATCAATGCTTGACAAATTATTTTTCAATGTTAATTCACTTTCTAGAAGCTCTCTGGAGAATATTCTTTCATTGAAATTAGAAATTAACCCACCTTATAATTGACAAGGAGATAGTAAGACTTTTCTTGATCCTTAGCTCGCGTGGTACACATGGGCTCAACAGATGTGGTCGCCACTTCTGCGTAACCTCCTGTAATTTTTAAACATGAAAATTACCATTTATAAAAGGAGGAGGGGGAGGCAAAACAAATCGAATACACACATTAGTGATTTCAGTAACAAAATAAATTGACGAATATTCTTTCCTTTGATAATTCTTCATGTTGTGAAATCTGATACGAGAAGAACTTTTCGTCAACACCAACGCTTCACTTTTCTTAATGCCTAAGTTGAATCAGACTTTTATTTTTCTCAATTTTCTCAATTAGTTTTATCAGTGCCAGACTCCCTAACTCTATGCAACTATATGGGCAAGTCCCATTTATGTGATATTCATTTTGATTTCCCATGTGAACTTCTACACAAACTGACACCAAGTTTGTCTTTTCACTCCACATTTGGTCTTATAAAAGCTATTTGAATTGTTTATCTTTAACAACAACTAAGAAAAAAAAAAAAAAAAATGTGTTTAGATCTAACAAATAGGTCGGCCTGGGATTCCTGAAGCCGCTACTGTCTGTTTAAAGCGGAGGAGAGAGAGAGAGAGAGAGAGAAAGAGGGGGAAAGAGAAGAGGGGAGTGAGGGAGGGAGAAAGAGAAAGACAGAGAGAGGGGAAAGAGTGAGAGAGAAGGGGAGAGTCAGATAGAGAGAGATAGAGAGAGGAGGAGGAGAGACAGACAGAGAGAGGGAGAGAGAGAGAGAGAGACATGCAGAAAGAGAGAGAGACAGAGAAAGAGTAAGAGAGAGAGAGAGAGAAGAAAAAAAGATCCATACCTGGGTAGCAAACTCGTAGTTCTCTTCCACCGAGGCCTTTCGTGCCGACTTCAATCCATTCAGGAGGGGGTGGTCCTTGTCGAAATGCATGAAAGTCTCCATTGTTGAATCCAACATAGTTCACGTACTTGTATGATCCTATAATGAAACATTCGGATATTTTTAGAGTACCGAAGTGTGATGTCATACTGACCAAGTTGTCAAGGTTGCTGGTTGAACAAAACTGTGTGTTTTAACCAGCAACCAATCTAAATTTGCCACCACAAGCAAGTTCCTCAACCCAGATGTAGCAAGTGGATACCTGGTAGAAAAATTTCCTTGAATGGTTTGTCAGTTCGGCTAAGGGCACAAAGGTTAAACATTAAATAGAATATATTGTGCATGACATTGTTAGTGTTGATTGTGATAATGCTGACGCCTTTCTAATGACAAGTTATTAAAGTACTTAATAGCACTAGCGTGTATAAGGGAGGGACAATGGGGGGGGGGGGGGGGAGGGCATTTTCCCCTTTGACTCTTTGCAGATTTCTGACCAAGAAAAATAATTGCATTAACTTTTTATATAAAAGTTAACATTTAATAATAAAGAATTGCTACGAGTCAAGAAACGCACAAGATGATTATATATATATATATATATATATATATATATATATATATATATATATATATATATTCTCAAAGGAATTGTTACCACCCCAGATAAATCAGCCCCCCCCCTCATACAACCATGGCGGTAAAAATATGATTTCCATACCACTATGGATCACATGAAATTAAGAGGATTTGCTCCTCCTAAGGTTAAGCTCTGGATAAGACCATGGTATTTCAAAGTGATGTTTACCCTGGTAACCTGATTCCATATTACACTATGAGTAGGTATGGTCGGGAGTCTATCATTTCAAATAAGTGACGAGTATGAGATAAAATGCGTCACAAATAATAATAATAATAATAACAATATTTATAAAGCGCAACATATCCATCTCTAGAGATGCTCAAGGCGCATACAAATAATTTAAATTAATATTTAACATACTTAAGATTAAAGAAATATTAAATGTTAACTTGCATTAGATCATACAACTTCATGGTGCCATGCAAGGTACATACAATGTGGCACAGTGCGATTGTTTTGCATGCATTGTATAAAAAGAACATTGAAATTTAACAATATGCATTGAGCATCAGGTGAGTTTTAAGCCCAGTTTTGAAAGTAGAGAGAGTGTTGGCCGTCTGAATAGAGAAAGGTAACTTATTCCACAAAGAAGGAGCTGCTGATGCAAATGCTCTATCCCCCCAATTTCTTTTGGTACGTATTTCTTTAAGTCTAATATTATGTGATGAACGTAAACCAGAACGACCTGCAGAGTGGGGTGATAGAAGGGATGAAATATATTCTGGAGCTAGATCATTTAGTGCACGATAGGTTAAGAGTAGAATTTTATATATCACACGCTGTTGAACAGGGAGCCAGTGCAGAGATTTCAAGATAGGAGTGATATGTGATGATATTCTGGTGTTAGTTACAAGGCGAGCAGCAGCATTCTGAACTTTTTGCAATCGGTTAATTTGGTTGGCAGGTAGTCGAAAGAGTAATGAATTGCAATTATCAAGGTGCGAAGTAACAAAAGCATGTACTAACTGTTGGGTGGATTGAGGTGAAAGATATTGCCTAATTGCACGGATATTACGTAGATTACAATTGGCCAGTTTAACACAATTTGAAATATGGGTTTCGAGTGACATGGCAGAATCAAATATTACACCAAGATTCCTAGCTTGATGTACAGGAGATACAGGGGCAGAACCAACTTGAACATGAGAAACCTTAATTTTACTGAGCTGTCTACTGTTGCCAAGCAAAATGAATTCTGTTTTTGCATCATTTAGTTTTAAGCGACTCTCAATCATCCAGTTCCTTACATCAGCTATACAGTTTTCAATTTTCTTCACATTTTCATCTATTTCTTTCTGGACAGGTTTGCAAATAAAATAAAGCTGTAAGTCATCTGCATACATATGATAATTGATACTGTGTTTTTGAACAATATGCTGTATGGGCAGAGTATAAACATTGAACAATTGCGGACCGAGAACAGATCCTTGGGGAACTGAAAAATCTAAACTAACTGAAGCAGAGGTAGCATCACGGATACAAACTTCTTGTGATCTACTAGAAAGATATGACATAAACCACTTTAATACTATACCATTGAGACCTATTTCCTTTAATCTCTTTAGCAAAATGCAATGATCAAAGACACGTATAGACAGAGAGACAGAGAGACAGAGAGGCAGAGAGACACAGAGAAAGAGAGAGAGACAGAGAGACACAGATAAACATAGACACAGACAGAGGCACAGAAAAACAGTCCATGTCATTACACACACAACGACTGGTAAGGGCTTGTTGGCTGGTTTGCGCCTGCTTACTAGTTTTGATCATTTTTTTTTCTTCTTCATATTTTGGTTACATATTTATGTTAATTGTTGGAGATTAAATAACAGGGCTTTTTCATTCTATTCTTTCTCATTCTTCTTTCCTATACATTTTGCCTTTTTCTAATATGTGTTCTTAAAACTTGGCATAAAGCAGTAGTTTAATAGTAGCTTAGTTGGCCTAGTAGTAGCTGAACCTTTTTTTTTTGTTGTTCCACTTCTACCACTTTAAAAATAGATCGTTATGGTGTTGCAATCTTGCAAGCATTATTAAGCTTGTACTGCCATAATCCTCATTACCAGGTCCCTCGGAGAGGACCTAAAGCCGTCGGCCGTCTGGTTGCTTACTAACAAGCATTCATGCTTTCTTAGCAGTCAGGTCAAGTAACCACCATATAACCTTTGTATGCTTCTGTATTATATATAATTGCAAACGTATAATGATCGTAATCTCCAAGTGTTTACTATCGTGATGGTCATGATCGTACCATGTAAACTGTTGAACCATGCAGAAATCAATTAATTAATAAAAACAATATGTAAATAAAAAGAACGTAAAGAACGTTTGTGTGAATAAATATAACATGATCTGGTACGTTTCAATCGTTAGTCCATGCATACGTTACATACATACATGTTGTTTATTACACTTCCCATTAACCCTATTTAGCCCGGGGGTGGGGGGCTTTAGAAGCCCCCCCCCCTCGACATTTTTCGCAATAATTTTTTAACCCGAGAAAATCTTGTACTGAAATTTTGTGACTTTTTTCTTTCAAGTCTTGCGCATCTTTTGAAAATCGGACCTACCATTACAAAGTCACGTGTCCTTTTGTCTTTGCATGTCAGCCTGAAAATCGCTCATTTTTGTGATTTGTGTACAAAACATATGGAAATCTTATTTTTCAAATAAAGAGATAAAACATTGGTTATTTGGTCTTGTTTATAGTTAAGGTGTTTATTTTGGGGTCAAAATAGTTGAATTATAGTTGGAAATGAAATAAAACAACAAAAACAATAAAATACATAAGTTAAAAAAACAAAGAAATACATAAGAAATTATCAAAACAACAGATAACATAAGGAATAAACCTGGTTATTCAATTTTTTGTGTTGTATTATTATTCCAAATGGTCTAACAAATATATGTAGTAAAAAAGAATGCTTAAATATGAATAATGTCTGATTTATGGGCAAAAATGTGAATTTTATGACCTTATTTGCATTAATTACCATAAATATGCAAATGAGTGAATTTTTCAAAAATTGAAATTACCATAGTATTCTATACACTTCACTTGACATGTATGCAAATTTTCGCGGCGATCGGTCATTACACGGCCGGGATCATAGGGGGGGGGGGGGGGCTATGCAGTTTCAAAATAGCCCGGGCTAAATAGGGTTAAGATGTGAGTTTGCACTAACTTACCACTCGATTGATCCAGGTTCTTGTGAATCTGACCAAGAACAAAACTCGGCTGTTTCCTGACCCATTCATAGATGAACTTCATGCCGTCTTCATGCGAGTCATGTTCGGGAGGTTTGGAGACCTTCTCAAAGAAGTTGAAAACGATGTGCAGCTCATCATTGCCCGCCATTTTTGACTGATTGTATCACACGCAAGCGCTAGATTAAATGGGTTCCAGTACGTACACGAACCCTTTTGCGAAAATTGAATTGTGAGAGCAGTTTCAGTTGTAATACACATATATATATTCATTCAGCTCAATGGGCCACTTCATGAGATATATATAGGCATTGCATACACAACTAGAGCGCTTTGTGTGATGAAGTGGAAATTGGTATGAATAAAGTCGGATAATGCAGGGATGCCCATGCATGGTCGCATACCAATTACAATCCCCCCATAATTTATGATTATTGAAAAATTATGGGACTTGAAAATCATTCACAAAGTCTCTCTCTCTCTCTTTCTCTCTCTATTTCTCCTCTGTCTCTCTCTCTCTCTCTGTCTCTTTCTCTCTCTCTCTTTCTCTCTCTCTTTCTCTCTCTATTTCTCTTTCTCTCTCTCTCTCCCTATTAATCTCTCTGTTTCGCCGCATCAACTATCTGGGCCAAGTCATTTCCTTCCATATAAGGTAATGGATCTGTATCATTATGGGGAGTTGGGGGATCACACCTTGAGGTGAACGGAACACGAGTTATCTGGAATTTCACACCTCCTCTCTCTGTCTCTCTCTCTCTGTCTCTGTCTCTCTCTATTTCTCCTCTCTCTCTCTCTCTCTTTCTCTCTCTATTTCTCCTCTCTCTCTCTCTTTCTCTTTCTCTCTCTATTAATCTCTCTGTTTCACCGCATCAACTATCTAGGCCAAGTCATTTCCTTCCATATAAGGTAATGGATCTGTATTATTATGGGAGAGTTGGGGGATCACACCTTGATGTGAACGGAACACGAGTTATCGGGAATTTCACACCTCCTCTCTCTCTCTCTCTCTCTCTCTTTCTCTGTCTCTCTCTCTCTCCCTCTCTCTCTCACTCTCTCTTTCTATCACTGTCTCACTTCCTCTCTCCACCGGTGATGATGAATTCCAATGAAAAACATATTTAAAGAGAAGGTTGAGTTCTGGGAAAAGGTGAAAAATAATTTGTGAGAGTAATCATTGTTATTATGCAAGTGTGAAAGAACATCAGAGAAAACGTGTTCCCTGAAAAGCATGGCTCTTCAAATGCCTTTATATTGTAAATATGGCATGTAACAGCATTGAAAATCGGGACGGATTTGTATGCCACATGTTCGTATAGTCCCATATACATCTTTCTGTGAACAGTGCTTGTAACTTTACCAAGACTGGGCCAAATTTCTTATCATTTTGATGATTCCAGAACCTAGCAGTACACACCAATACTTACATGTATTATGCTAGATGATCAATCTTTTCTGATCGATTCCACATCGTTTCTTTCACAATGCAATCGCATGAACAGACCTAAACTTTAGAATACTATGAAATACTTCACCATACACTTTCGGAGCTAAGAATATGTACATGTGAAAATATCTTGCGATTACTTGACATTAATTCTACAATACGATAATACTAATTTACACTTTACGATGCTTACATCATATATCATGTAGACATTTGTGGCAATTTCCACCATGCTTAGCAATAACGTAATGAAATAATTATAGCAATGATATAAAAAGCATGTCATCGACAATTACTCGTTATAACATCCTCGATCATTATTTGCGACGTTTAGCGATGTTTAGCGACAATATTATTATTACCAACATTTGAGCGAATGTTTGCGAAAGTGTTTGCGAAAGGCGGTTGTCAACTATTAGCGACTGCAAGCAAATGTTAGCGACAGTTTTCACGAAGATTACCAACTATTTGTCAACCCTGTGTCCCTATCTGTGAATGTTTGAGACTTTTCGCTAACTCATGTTACTCAATGAGTCGATTTTATACAGGAACCCTATGGTAACGTAGTAGCTAGCATTGGCGAATCAAAGAGAACTCCAGCGACACCGTCTTACAACCATTTGCAAAGGCATACGCCTGCTTTTTAAACGCTTGCAAATGTTTGCGGGCAAAAAAAAATCGCAAAGAAATTTTGAACATTTTCAAAATTGCTTTGCGACAAGAACAACTGTTTGCGACAATGAAAACTGTTTGCGACGATGAAAACTGTTTGCGACAATGAAAACTGTTTGCGAACTTTCTTGCAACCCTGTACGAAACTTTTGCAACCTTTTACGAACCCTGGCGAAACCCAAATTCGGTAAGTTCGCAAGCACTCGCCATTCAGTGAGATACCCCCTTACTAAAATCATCATATGAATTGGACACTATGTCGTAAAGACATAAAAATCTGTTTTTCAATTAACCATATTCAATTGCCTCATAAAATTACTAAGATCGTGCCTCAATATCTGATTGGAACCATTTCTGCTGCAAAAGTGTCACAAATTGCGCGATGTTAGTGGGTTTCGTTCTATTTTTACTATTTTATCTATACCCAAGTGTATGATGTACGTGACCTTCGTCTTAATCTTGTTATGTATTTCTCTATAAGTCATTGTAACCGATATAGGTTGGATCATCAAAATCCTGTTAGTCATGTTTAATACACGCGTTAAATTTGACCTCTATTGAACGCCCCGCATGATATTGCCGTCGTTGTTGGCATGTGTCTTTGAAATGAAGAAGGGGCTCATTTACAAACACCACAAATTTGTATTCATTTGAGCAGGCTGGACTGGAACTCGCGATTTTAAGTTCTCGCGATATTCTGCCGATATTTTACAGACTGATTCAATCCCGGGATTCAATTAACGTCTTTTAAAGAAACAAATTGTGAAACAGTTTTGTTCAAGGTTAAAATCCTAAAGCTTAATTTGTATGGTTCAATGCTTTCTCCTGAATTGCACGACTTCATATTGATTTTCCATAATTCATAAAGGCCTACATCGCAGTCAACATGCCCATCTCGGTAATTATGTTATGTTCTTGTAAAAACTGTTTGTATCTCATTTTGTATTGATGATGGTTAGGAACAGTGGCGTATCCAGAACATGATATAGCCGATGTCGCAGCCCTACCCCTGCGGGCCCCCTCCGTAATGCCCGTAACAAACTCCATAGCTACCTGAACTTGGTGTATGGCATCGTCAATCTGTTTCTCCTGCCCCGATTTTATTGTACTACGACACGATTGATATCGAATATACTTACAGTAACTAGGTAAACGTTTCGAGGAATGGAGAGTGCGTATTTTAGGTGCAGAAATGTTATTGTACTCCAAATACTATTCAATCAAACTAGGGGGTAACTGTTCATTAAATATTGGATTGATGATTAATTTCATGTCATCGAAAGATACAATCTATTGTTAGATGCCCCGAATGAGGGGCTGTGTATTTTGAACTATAGTTGTTGGCATGTGTCTTTGAAAACAAGAAGGGGCTCATTTTCAAACACCGCAAATTTTAATCATTTGAGCAGGCTGGACAGCAACTCGTGATCTTCTCGTGATCTATTCTGCCGATATTTTACAGACTGATTCTATTCATATTACAGATGGCGCTTTATGACGTCTCCTGCGAGTTTTTTTTTAGCTGCAAAATTTTTCTATTTTTACTACTTATATCTCTTCTTCCTCATCATCATTTGACTGTTTTTGATATGTAATGCTTCTAAACATCATCAAGTGTGGCAGCAGTTCGGAATTAGTCCTAATAAGTCTCTATAAGTCATTGTAACCGATATAGGTTGGATCATCAAAATCCTGTTAGTCATGTTTAATACACGCGTTAAATTTGACCTCTATTGAACGCCCCGCATGATATTGCCGTCGTTGTTGGCATGTGTCTTTGAAATGAAGAAGGGGCTCATTTACAAACACCACAAATTTGTATTCATTTGAGCAGGCTGGACTGGAACTCGCGATTTTAAGTTCTCGCGATATTCTGCCGATATTTTACAGACTGATTCAATCCCGGGATTCAATTAACGTCTTTTAAAGAAACAAATTGTGAAACAGTTTTGTTCAAGGTTAAAATCCTAAAGCTTAATTTGTATGGTTCAATGCTTTCTCCTGAATTGCACGACTTTTCCTACTTATATCTCTTCTTCCTCATCATCATTTGACTGTTTTTGATATGTAGTGCTTCTAAACATCATCAAGTGTGGCAGCAGTTCGGAATTGGTCCTAATTTTGTCGGATTATAAGCTTGTAAATTACACTTCAATCGTTTGTTCTGTCCCACCTATTTTTTGTTGCTGTATTTTATTGACATTTGTATGTACCGTGACTGCCTGTGCTATTGCCTTGTCTTATTCTCGTACTGATGTAGGTGCTGTGCATATATAGTTTTGAATGTAGATTGTAGATATAGCAGAACAGATATATACAGTGCGTCCCAGAAAAAACGAAACCGAGAATTATCGATGTTTTATCATAACTTAATAATATAATGAATAAATGACACATATTTGGAAGCTTAGATCCTCCTCTTTCATTTGATGCAACTCATATGATTCATATCTCACTCATGAGTAATTAAAAGCAATTTGAAAAGTCATTTGGCGGGGGTTATCTGAATCTCAAGGAGAAAATCACATTTCCAAAGATTTCATTTTCTGCCCTTTCATATGACACCTCAATCAGGAAAAATGAGCCAGGAATAACAAAGTTCTGTTTGTTTGGAGTAATGCTTGCATTTCCATAACTTGATCAAACGAGTTCGTTTTCACTGGCTGCCTGCCGTAGCAACTAAAGGCCCCGTCACACAGAGGGGACGCATGGGGAACGCACGGCTAGCGCATTGGAAATTTGCAATTTTGGCCAGTGCGTTGTCGTGCGCCCAACTTTTGTAGAAGCTACAGCGAGCTGACACCAAATGCATAGCGTGTTGCTAGCGCGCTGAGCGCATACAGGGCGCATACAGTGCGCATACAGACCTACACAGAGCGCACATGAAAACAACTTCCACGAATGCACAGCGTGTTGATGTCGCGCTGGACGAATGGTCCACGCATGCACCGCGTTCTCAACAGAGGTGGTCACTCATAGACGACGCACGGCCCGCGCATTGGAAATCGGAAAAGGCCGTGTGCCTAACTTTTGTCATGATTTTGGAAAAGCTAGCGAGCTGACACAAAATGCACAGCGTGTAGCTAGCGCGCTGTGCGTATACAGGGCGTGTGCTCCGCGTATGTGTGGCGCTGGTCTA